CATGTACTTTTTGGAAGCTTTGTTTCCCAAGGACTCTATTTTCTCTTTTCTGGATTCTTGACCATGTTAAATCAAGATTGGCCTATTAGGACATTGGAGAATGATGATAATTGAGGTATTAATGTCTTATTTTCCCATGACAGATATTAACACTAAAGAAATACATTTGATAAAAATATTAGAAATTGAATTATCTTATCTATTAGTTGCCCCAGATTTTACTCATCAATGTAGGGAAATCAGAGTTCTCCTTATAATCCTGTAAGGTATGAAATTTGAGTAGATAGGAACTATGCTTTTGTGTGACTTGTATAGTGTCTATCAAACTGAAATCATTCAATAACCATAATACTAGCACAGAATTGTGTTGAAATCAAATGGTGTGAGTGGGTAAGGAAATGTGCACATTTAGTTCCTTTCAGGTAGTCCTCCTGAGTAGGATGAGGGTGCTGACCTACTAGGAGTGGCCCATGTGGCTCTCAGGGCACCATGCTGATGAGCCACCCACTGTGGTTCCATTTTGGCAGGCACAGTCAAATCGGCTCTTTGATCCTTTTGAGTGGCTCCTGCCAGAGTGAGTGCCCATGTTTGTTTTGCCCCTCCCCTTTGGTCATTACTCCCACCTGGCACTATAGAACAAAAAAATGAGAGGTGTCACCTCTGAAGTGAGGTGACACTTCAGGAACACAACTCTGCCAAGTATGAAAAGCTGCTTGATTAGTTCCGGTTCTAAAAGTACACGTGTAACATTTCTGCCACCCATTAGTGAATACACTTTAGTTTCTATATCACGCAACAGTCTGCTAAAAATCATATTTCCTGATTTTGTTTTCTCATTACTGGGGTCTTGGATCCACCCTAAAATGCAGCCAGCAATACAAATAAAAGGCAGGATTGTCCCCTGTCTTTTAATAGTCTTTTTTCATAAGTATCTGAATATACTTGGAAATATTTACTTCATCTCATGCCTCAATATTTTAAAACCAATTCCTCTACTATATTTGAAAATCATCAACTTTAGTGGCTTGATTATATTGGCCAAATTTTTTTACATTGCATAAAATTTTTGTTGAAAAATTTTAATAGATTTTGCAGTAGTATCTGCATTTTAATATACTCACTATTTGATAAAAAATGTAAACATAACCATACCCATTTTATAGCTGAAAAAGTAGAGACACTGAGGTGCTAAATATGTTCTTTAATATGGTACTGGGTGTTAGTCTCATTCTACCAATTTGATACTGGTGGTATCATTTGGATGCTGTGGGATTTAGGGCTTTAGCACATGCTCTGTGATATGAAACTTGCTCCACACTATCTTAATGCCATTTAGGTATCATAGATAAAAGGACAGAAAACTGAGACATATGGGGATGTTAAATGACTTGTAGCAAATCATAAGGCAAGGTCACAGGAAAGCTGATACGATCCTGCACTGCTTCACTCTGTGAACTAGCCACGGCTGGTTTTCTGACAGGAAACATTTTTCCCCTTCAAGAAATCCCAGTTTTCACAGTTGTGAAAGCTGGAGACCTTCACTGAGAAAGAATGCCTCAAGGGACAGGGAACTTTTGAGAAAATTTAAGGTTTTTAACCTCAACCTAGTGCAGCCCAACGTATCAATCACCACCTAACCATTTCAGAATATTAGATTTCTAAAATTCTTGTTTAGACAGCATCTAAATTTGAAACTGCAATTTCATGACCTTGTTTCTTCTGCATTATCTAGTTAACATTTAGTAAAACACTTAGGAATTAAGTATTAATATATGTATGTTAAAATGCCTGAGTTTGGAAATTGGTACATGGAATTTATTTGGGAAAAGTTTATAAAAATAGCATCTACTTTGAAATGTTTCTGTAGTAACTTCTGCTTGTCATCATTTTTAACCAGAAGAGGAAATTTTCCTATATAAGGCTGGAGACCATTAGTTAATAAGGAAGCAGGGACCTAACCAGGCCAAAAGTTTACTAAGTTGTTACTAATGCAGGTATTTCGGGCTAAAAGTACATGAAGTCGTCTTCCATACTTTTACTTCCTACCAATTATGATTTGCTGTTGGGAAATAAGCAGATTCTAGAAAGCTGTGACGGCCCAAGATGTCCCACCCAGGTTAGTATGGCTCGGACAGTCCCTATGCTCATTAACTCAACTTCTGGTTTCCCATGCAAACCTGATCTCAGCCAGAGGCAATGAAGTAGGAGCCAGTAATGGAGGGTACAAGCAGTCCTTCCTCCCGAAGGAATCCCCAAAGGAGAAACTTCGCATGCACATGCAAGGAAATGAGCCTTTTCAAAGCCCCCCCAGGGACTCCTCCATGAAGAAATGCCCCATTTCACCTAGAACCGACTTTGCCAACATCACTAAATGTGCGTTCCACTAACGTTGTTCCGTACTTTAGGTCAAGAACTGGAGATGGCTGCATTTAATTAAGGTCAAGAGAGAGGAGAGTGTGCGAAGAGGGCATCCGAGAGCCTGGAGTTGGAGGATGCTGGTAGTTAGCTGGTAGTTAGGAAAGTTAGCAGCAGAGGATTATCTGAGGAGAGCGAGTGGTGGCTTTCCTAGTGAGCTCCAAATAAGCTTTTCCATCTCCATTAAGTAAAATGTAATGTTGTATTAATCACGTGGAAAAGTAAGGGTTTTTTCTATTATTAACTGGTAAATTCCTGTGTCATCTATCTCTATTTTGTCTGTCAGCTCTGTTTTCTACAAACACAACCATTTCAGCTATATTATTAACATTCTCAAAGGCAATTCTACCAGACTACCAAGTGCAATTTGCTTTAGCTAAGACTTATTTACATTTATTGTCTAAGGCAGGCTGAGATAATATATGTGCCATTTGGTCCAGAAATAGTAAATCTTAGTTGTATGTGATGAGCTTTAACTCTGAATACTTCAGACACCATATATTGTGCACCTTTTCTGGGCTAGTTTCTATGCTGTGTACCTTACACACATTTGCTGCTTTCATTTCACAACAAGCCATTTTAGATATCAGACAGTTGGGCCTCAGAGAACCTAATTAATTTGACCAAGGACATACAGATAGTAAGTGGACAAGCTAGGATTCAAACCTGAGCCTTTCTGACTCAAAGTCCGCCCCCCCCCCTTTAAACCACTATCGCATGCTGCTTCTGAAGATGTAGAAGATTTTGAATTACCTTCTAAGAGTCTGTGCAGTTTTAGTAAGGGGAAGGGGGCTGCCATAGCATGTGGTTCTGTGGGGGTGTGCATTGCAGGAGCATTTCCTGACTCTGAAAGAGCCGCCTTTGGGGGATTGATTGGAGGTATCATTTCTTTGATTCAACGTTTCAACCTTAGTACCAAGCAGAGTGAACTCTCTGGCTAGAGTTATATGTGTGATCACTAAATGGATATAGATTTTCCCCGTCCTAATGGTCATACGGATATGATTTATCTTACAGTACAATAAAAACAGAAGCTGTACAAGTATGTATATAGCAAAAGAAGATAAATGGACTGTAAAAAGCAAAAAGACAGCGTGTGTCACAAATGCTTTCTATTTGCCCAAGACAACTGAGACACACTGAAAGCAAGACAGACATACATTGGTCACTGTTTGTGCCCATCCTGGAGGGGCTGCATACCTCTCTGATCATGTCAAGGTATTCTAGTCTGGGGGAACCTTTTATTTATAAGCAATTTATTTTAAAATCCAAAAATGTTTACCATTAGGTATCTGAAATTATCACACTTTAAATACCGTAGTTTCTAAATGGTAATCTCACTCTAGTAAGAGTTTTAGAAAGGGTTCAAATGTTTGCCTCTTCCTAGAATGTTCTTCCTACTCTACCTTTAGAATGTTCCAACTCTGCCTTTAGAAACAGTCCATGTATTACTTCTAGGAGCTCTGCCTTATACTTTTAGGCATATTTGTGTCTTTGCTCTTGCTATATAGTATTAAAGTTTTCTGTTTGGATGTGTATGCTCTCTTTTAGAGTCCAGTGATTAAATTGTGAGCTCCTCGAAAGGCTGTGCTTTGTTTTTCCCTTAATACCTGGTATTATTCCGTTCCTACTAGAGAGTAGGTGCTCAATAAATATGTTTCCAATAAACTAATGAACTTGCAGTCACACACACATGCACACACACATTAAGCACATGAATAAAATTTCCCAAGTATTAGCATGTTCCCCAAGTGCTTGTGCTCTAGACATTTTGCAGGAAATTTTACTAATTAAAAAAAATGTTTAATCTGTTTGCAGTCTTTGTTTTCACTTTGAGCATTACTTTTGCACATGAACTCAAGTGTGTTCTCTGGTACTGATTACTTGCTTGAACCACAGAGATAGTGTTATGAATCTTTATTTTTATTCGTGTGCCACCTGTTTGGTGGCTTTGTTCAAGCACATTATCTGTATGTTCGAAAAAATACATGGATTGTGTCAGTTAACTGGAAAAGTCTTACTTTCAAAAAATTCCCAGTATTTAATACAGTGCTTGGCATATAGTTGGATTCAATAAATGTCTGTGGACTGCCTGAACAAGTCAGCCATTATTGTTATCTGTTTTGAGATGAGGTATGAGATTTAAAAAAATAAATAAAAAAGACTAGATGAAATGCTCGGTATCAGACAGCAGGCTAAGAAGAGTAAACCTGACACTCCCAATTCTTACCTCTGTTTCTAGGCTGTTACTCAGGCTCACTCAGAAGTGCTGTATATTTCTGATTTCTCAACTTCACCCTGCAGTAAACTTTTGCAATCTGGAGGCTAGAGACCTCTTTTGTAAATGTTGTCTGCCCGATGACTGCGTTGGCACCGAGGAGGCCTTAGCAGATAAAGTGGAGGAACATATGGCTCCCATCTGAATACAAATTGGTGGGCATAGCGTGGTAATTCAGAAGAGGTGTCCTTATATTGTAAGCTGAAAGAGTATGATTAGAGGTGTTTATAAACGGCATCTGAATTTCCCCCCACACCCCTCTCCCCACCCCCTTTCCACTGTAGTTTTATCTGCCTGAATCATAGGCATCCAGCGTCCCAGGCTCACTGCGTTATTTGTTAAAATGGCCAGCGTGAGGAATTATTAATTAAAGCTAACAAATCACCCTGACGAGCTGTGCCCTGGCATGGCTGAAGGTTGATTGGCGAAAGTGTTCTCCTTTGGAGAAAAGACTTTTTGTGCTCGTGACGCAGTCAGGGACGGATTATTGAATATTCAAGTTAGAAGAAAAATCACAGGACAAGCAAATTGAGTATTTACTGGCAAATAATTGCTCTCTTAAGCTGTGGCTCTCTTCCTAAATTCTTAACATTCCCGAGGGTTAGAAAGAAACAGAAAAATGCATCGGTACAGAGTGCATTTTAAAAAATATACATAGACTGATGTTTCAGACTTGTGCAGGTAAGTGTGATTGTGTGTGCATGGAAAGTGAAAGGGCAAGGGGAAGCAAGGGAAGGGTGAGGACATTTTTAATATGGTGAGTTTTTAAAAATCCATTTGTTGTTTATTGGAATACTGCTCGGCGTATTTCTAAGTGGACTGAGAATTTAGTTTCAGTGCTGCGTTTGTTGTGAAAGTTAGAGAAATGAGAAGGAGGGAGGGTTTTCTCAGAGTTACTTTATGTCTTTATCAGCAGAAGAATATGTTAATGTTGTGCCCCAATACTAGTTATAAACTTTGCTCAGATATTTGTGGATACATGTATAAAATTATCGTTTGATTTAAGGCTTTTGAGTTTATTCTCGACCTTGTTAATAATGACCTGTCTTAACAGTGTCGCAGACACATTTGGGTACAACTCTTGCATTTATTTTTGAAAGTAAATTCTGTTTTACATTAGCACCAAGCTAGTCCTTGTTCAGAATTTCGAATGGGACATTACAGCTTTGGAATACGTAGTTACTTAAACTTCAGGCTTCTGTAATAACCAAAGTGTCCTTATTGTCAATTGTGTGATCTTTTTATCTGAAATGTTGATCAGACTGCTAAGTTTTGTAGATATTGTGAGATAAGTGAAACTAGTTTACAGGCTTTTCCAAATCAAGTTTAAGTATATAAAAATACAGTAAGCACAGAAATAAAGTCTCATTCTATGTATACAATATAGACATTAAGAAACAGAGATACTCTCCTAAGTATAGCTAGATTATGTGAACAGCATTATCAAAACACATATATCCACTGAGGAAGAATTTCATATCCTGTGCAAACCTGTAAAATGTGCTTTCATCGACAACAAACTGTTTTTCAAATGAGAATAATTGGCTGGCGAAATAACATTTTAGGGTTGTAATAACTATGAATAACATGGATTTAAAACAAATGCAAAAACATAATTTAAACTAAATTAATTAATAATTGCAAAGTGCTTTAACAATAAAGCATCTACATGATAGTAATAGGGATAGGAATAATAATAAAAATGAAAATCTGGCAATCACCCAGAAATTAAATCCGATGGCTCTCATTAGGTTTTAGAGAATCAGAATTTTAAAATATAAAATTTTATATTTTACCTTCTAGTATATTTCTTGAACCTTGCAGTATTGTGCTGGTTAAGATTCTGCCTTACTCTATCCTATTTTACTAAAATAATATAGTTTGCCTTAGTATGTAGACTAGGACTTATAGGAAAGTTTAGAAAATATATTTTTTAAGGTTTAATTCCCACTGGACAGCATTTTGTCCTCAGATTTCAAGAGGCAGCCTCCTTAAAGTTTCTGGTGGCTATTTGAGGGCACAATTTGGTTCATTATTTTGAAATAGCAGAGGGGGCATTTAAAGCATATGTCCGGAGACTAAGCCATCTGCCTGCTTTATTATGAATACCACAAAATTATGAGGACTTGGAAAGGCTCAACAATTGAACCAGAGTTCTGTGCAAGATTAAAAAACACACAGCACTTTGATTTTAAAAAGTGTTTTGTAACCACTTACTTTTGCTAAGTACTTCATTAGTCTGCTGTGGTAGAATACTATCATTACGCCCTGTTGATATATGGGGAATGAGTAGTAAAGTGTAGCTGAGTGACATAAACCTATGGCAAGTTAATGACAATATTTCCTCTGTTATTTGACACACTAAATTTAAATACCTTTCGGAGTTTGGGATTTACTTGTCAATAGTGAAACTCGCAGCAAATTGGAGAAACATTGTAAAATGGTGACTGCTGGAACAAAAATGAAGTCCAGCTGCTTGCTCTGGACTATCTACAAATGAGTTGCAAGAGACATGCAGAGGTCAGACAAAAAGCACTTCTGTAATCCAACTGTGACGTAATGGAAGTGTGATCAGCTATTGGTGGCCCATGCTGGGGCAGAACAAACAAAGCAAAAGTGAGCACCACGTGGCATTGTTATAGAGAGGTGCTGTGTGCCTTTGGTATCGGGAAGGATGTGAGATCCAGAAATTCGCACTAGAGCAAAAAAAATCATATTTAGGTCTGAAACATAATAATATTTCAGCCCAGAGTGGTCAGATAAAGACAAAGCAAGATGAGTATCATTGTTAAGATGTCAGGTGCCCAGCTACAGTTCTTCTAACTTACCTGAGTTTTATGAGAACCAGAATTAGACTAGCTGGGTCATTAGCAGCAGAGATGCGGAGAATAAACTAAACCTAGCCTGATCAACTTTCAGTGTTGAAATTACCTATCACTATTTGTTGCTTAATGAAAATTATTTAATTAAAAGAGAATCATAACGGAGGCAAAGGACTGAAGTGTTTGGTTTGACGATTCTAAGTAAAAAAAGGCATGTACATATTTAAAATACATATAAGTAATATGTACATATATTATTACATATAATTTTTTAAAAGAAATATTTCAGAGTTGTACACTTTGGCTTATTAAGCCTCTGGACTTTTTTGTACAGTCAGTCTAGAGACTGAACACACAGCTTTTAACACAGCTGTAGTTGGCTTTCAAAACATAAGGATGTCAGAATAACGATCTGGTGCTGACAATACCTTTGTCCAGTTTCATATGGGTCTCGTCATAGAGGTATTTAATTTTATGCCTCTTTCAATTGTAATCCTACTAATAATCAAGTGAGTCTAATAGCCCAAAGACTACAAAATATCTCCATTATTTGAGGAGGTTGGTTTTTATTTTTTATTTTGGTTGTGTTTGATATATACCTAATCCACACACATGCACACACATACTTTTTGTTTTATTTTCATTTCTTTCAGCCACACTGTTCTAAGAAGGTAATTAAAATGGCTGACAAAGAAAAAGAAACAGATAATACAGTAAAACACTTGAATCTGAAGTAGGTAAGAAAGATAAACAATAAAACAAAACAGTAAACAAGGGCAAGGATATGAAAATGGAGCCGGGACCGAAGTCAGCACGCAAACTGCATTCCGCCAAGGGCTATACATTGCCTTTAAGCTTTCTTGCAGCCAAGTCAAAGAGAAAATTATGACAAGTTATGCAGTTTACAACATTCGTAAGAATAATAAAATAATTTCCATCATTCATTAACTAGGACTCTTGAAAAATGACGGACTCCGATTTTAGAGAAGTCAGTGCTGAGACAACTTCCATGGAAAACAATTATAGGCTGCAGAGACCTAAAGGTCTGGCCAAGCAGAAAAAATACCTTCCCTGGGTCATATGTGGAGGAGCAGACTGTCAGGCCCAGGGGATAAGTTTCAGGGGGTGGGCGAAGCAATGATATTGGCAAGGCCAAGATTCTATGAAAAATAGGAAGTTAGAGAGGGATTTTTAAAAATTATTTCTTATAAATATATACATACATATTTTATAGTACATCAGAGATTTAGAAGGCATCCACTTTTATAATAGCCATTGAAACACATTTTATCAAATATACCTGTTGAATCAACATTGCTTCCCTAAGTTGTTCGTGAAACATTGCTGCACGGCTGCCATTCTTCTCCCACTTTTCCTTTAAACACAGTCAGTCTTTGTGAAGTTTTATTTTTTATTTTAAATATATGTTTTATTTATATTTTTAGAGAGAGGAAGGGAGAGGGAGAGAGAGATAGAAACATCCATGAGAGAGAAACATCAGCTTGGATTGGCTGCCTCCTGCACGCCCCGTGCTGGGGATCGAGCCTGAAACGGGGGCATGTGCCCTGACCCTAACCAGGGATTGAACCAGCGACCTCTTGGTGCGTGGGTCGACACTCAACCACTGAGCAACACTGGCCGGGCATTCTTTGTGAAATTTTAAAAAGAGCCCCTCCTGGCTGGAAATGTACAGTTTCTTGCCCCTGCATCTTCTCTTGGTTCATTTTCAAAAGTCTTAGCAAAGTGCATGGTCTTTTCACACGTAATTTTAATGGTTAAGTCACACTGAATAAGCTAGACTTTTCTCCACATTGAAAATGTGAAGCATAAAGATTTCTTTTCATAGCCCAATCCATAGTAAGTAGTCCAAGGATCACCCGTGTCAGAATTACCTAGGGTGGTTGTCAAAAGGGAGATTCCTGGACCCATTCCAGAATTTCTGAATTAGAAGTTCTGAAGATAGAGCCAGGGCATCTGTAGTCTAGGAAGCTACCCAGGTTAGTTACGCACACTTGTTTGAAAACCACTGTTTCAAGATTGTGACTTTAAAATTTCTAGTATGTGAACATAAAATGGTAGGATTTGCATGCCACAGTTGGTGAGGATTAATTATATTAATACTGACCAAGACACAAATTCATGTTCAATAATAACTGATGATTGCCTGCTAATAAAACTGGAAGAATCAAGCTTAGGAAAATACTCTGAGTGTGTTTGAAACCTAAAGCCATATCTCACCATTGTAGAAAACATTCTTTAATTTCTTTAGCTCTAATTTATTGAAAACTACTGTGTGCTAAGTCATGTGGGGGCTGGGGATGGAGATACAAAGATGAAAAAGAACAAGTCAGACTCTTGTCTGAGAAAAGCTGATAGTTTAGGATAATTTCTTATTACTAGGGCATTATCTTCTCCCAAACTAGGATGAATGGCTACATAATCTCCTCTTGAGTGAAACTCAAGATTTCCATTGTATTTTATTGGTATACATTTATTGATAGCCTCATATAGTAGGACTCTGCTACAGTTTGGAAGCTTCAAAACATAATAAACCCTCATAGGGTCCTCCTTTTTCCCCTCCAGGGGACAGTATCTGCCACAACTGGGATGGGATGTATCATGGGACCTTCTAATTTCATTACTTTCATCATCAATGAGAGATTTGTTACCAGTATTCTTAAAAAAAAAAAAAATATATATATATATATATATATATATATGTTTTTATTGATTTTAGAGAGAGCAAAGGAGAGGGAGAGAGAGAGAGAAACGGGGAGGGTCTCGGGCTGCTTCTGCCTAGTACTCTGCTCCCAAGTCTCAGCAGTGCAAGAAATTGGGTTTGGACAGGCTAGAAGGGAC